TCCCGCTTTACCTGTTTACCCCACAGTGAAAGTGTTGATGAAGGAGATGAGCAGCTCAAGTCTCAGCGCTTTACTCTCTAATGGGATTAAGAGCTTCTGCATTACACAAGAGCTCCAGTAACCCTAATACACACACACACACACGCACACACACACAGACACACACACACACACACACACATATGCGCACACACACACACCAAATCATTCCAGAATCTTCAGGAATCTATTTATTCATTCATTTTCCTTCAGCTTAGTTTCTTTATTTATCAGGGGTCACCACAGCGGAATGAACCACCAACTATTGCAGCAAATGTTTAACACAGTTGATGCCCTTCCAGCTGCAACTCAGTTCTGGGAAACACCCATACACTCTCATTCACATACACACACACACACACACTACGGTCAATTTAGTTAATCAATTCCTCTATAGCACATATGTGTGGACTCGAACCAGTGACCTTCTTGCTTTGAGGCCACTGTTATAACCACTGAGCCATCGTGCTGCCCTGTCTCAATCTAAGAAAACCTGTTAAAGTATACATGTAATACATGTAAAAGTATTTCACCTTCAGAGGTAACAGAATGGACGTGAACACTAAAATAAGTCCATTATATAATGTGTGTGTGTGATAACACACTCCTGCAGAGGAGATAATAACCTTCTATAATCATCGAGATCTGTTATTACAGCACTGAACAGGAAAGTTCATTATGCAAAAGCATGCAGCATGCAAATTAAAGCACACTGTTTATTTAAATCAGCTTCATTTACATAAACTGCAGAAACACACAGGACAACATTCCCACAAACAGCACTGAGACCCGCAGAGCAGCCGTCCTCATCATTAAACCACACAGGGGATGAGCTGCATCACTGTCAGACATTAGAGACAGTCTCTCACACACTGTTGCATATTAAACTTGATCTTAATGAAGTCAAATTCATTTAGTTGGATTGGAAAAACCTTTTGAGAGAAGTTATTTGAGAGTTTTTAATGTGATTCATGTTTAATTTCAATCATATATAATTTTTTATATTTGATTATTTTATATTATATAATGGTGTCATGGTGGTGCAGTGGGTAGCATGTTCGCCTCACTGCAAGAAGGTCGCTGGTTCGAGCCTTGGCTGGGTCAGTTGGCTATTGGTGAATTGGGAAGGCTAAATTGGCCATAGTGTATGAATGTGTGTGTGTGAATGAATGTGTATGGGTGTTTCCCAGTGATGGGTTGCAGCTGGAAGTGCATCTGCTGAGTAAAACATATGCAACATGAGTTGGCACTTGAGTTAATATAAACAGTTGTGTGGTATTAATTACACTCAAAAGTAGATATTTCAAAGAATGTTGTAAACCGGTAACCATTGACTTTGATTGGAAAAACAAATACCATGGAAGTCAATGGTTACCGGTTTACAACATTCTTTAAAATATACAAATTTTGTGTTTGCAGGAGAAACTCATAAAGGTTTATAAACACTTGAGTGATGCTAATTATACTCAAATGGAGATGATTTGAAGAATGTTGGAAACTGGTAACCATTGACTTCCATAGGGGGGAAAAACATGGAATTCAATGGTTACCGCTTTTCAGCATTCTTAAAATGATCTTCTTTTGTTTTCAGCAGAAGAAAGAAACTCAAAAAGGTTCATAAACACATATTTTGTGGTATTCATTTCTTGAAGAATGTTAGAAACTGGTAACCATTGACTTTCACAGGTTCATTCCGCTGTGGCGAGATTAATAAAGGGGCTAAGCTGAAGGTAAAGGAATGAATAAATATTAGCACAAATCAATAAGGTTGCTGGTTTGAGTCTCGGCTGGGTCAGTTGGTGTTTCTGTGTGGAGTTTGCATGTTCTCCCGGTGTTTGTGTGGGTTTCCTCCACAGTCCAAACACGTGTGTGTGTGTGTGTGTGTGTGTGTGTGTGTGTGTGTGTGTGTGTGTGTGTGTGTGTGTGTGTGTGTGTGTGTGTGTGTGTGCAGATGTTGTTTA